TGGCCAAGATAAGAATATGAACGGTCACTGATTATACATTTTTACAATACAAACATCTGAATATACACGTGTGCTGATACAGAAAGCTTTTAAAACATCCTTGTGCTGGTCAAAGACGGCGCTTACACAACCAGCCGGTGATTTTAAGTGGACATATTGCGCGTTGTATAAAAAAAGAGACGTTATAAAAGCAGCGCTGTCCTTGCTGACTCCCTGTCAATGTTTGACAGTATTTTATGTTGACGTTGTTGACACAACATCCAGCATTCCTGGTGTACGACCATAAACACGCAAGTATGTGCATTGCGGCAGAAGCGCCTCAGTCAAGGTAACATGTGCTGTTTCATAAAGGTTTCCAGTACAACAACGTGGTCTATGTAACATACTGTGTGTGTGCAGCTCGTCCTTCCTTGACTCCTCTGCCCACACCCTCCGCCGTCCAGGCTTTTACGCGTCCCCTGCCACAGCATCCTTCACCGGCAGCATCCCCCTCCCCTCCCACCACCCCTGCACTCGCCGCCGACCTCGGCTGACCCGGCCTCAGCGCCGCTAAGATCTCTGCTGGAGCTCGGCGCTCCGAGGAATCAGTCAGCCGAAGCGCTCTGCCGCTCCGCTCAGACGCCGTTTCTGACGGCAAAGACATCTGTTATTGTCTTTGTAATTAACCGGAGGGCAGGCGGAGGTGAACAGAATCCAATAATATATATGGCTTGTTATGCCACGACGCCACGGAAACCTCGTCAATTAGCGCACTTTGTTTAGGCGGTGAATCGTCACTCGTGCGATTTGTCGACGGATTTCTGATGAGAAACATCACGTTGCAATAAAACTGGACAGAATTTCAAATCCTATTTTTTTTTTTTTAAATTCCATCCGGCCTGCGTGTCAGCGAGGATCTGCTGAGAGGGTGAATTATCATAATGTATTCCAGAGGAGAAGCATGGAGAGGGAACACAGAGACCACGGGGACTTCTCTCAGTGTCTGCCTCCCCAGGCGTTTGCCATCGGACACCAGAGCCTTTGTGAATAGATAATCTCCTCCTATGAAATTATGTGAAATACTGGACCATAAAATCAGTTTCATGCCTGTTATAAAATCTTAAAATGCTTGGTGAGGCATTCATATAATTGGTCATTAACCTCCACGAGCCCTCCAGAAGCACCATTGTCCTTGCTAACTCCCACTGGTTTTGTCCAATAACAATATTTCATGTTGACGTTGGCCAAATATCCAACATTCAGCGCACAAACCCGCCGCTGTCCTCTTAAATATTCCTGGAGAAAAGCGTATTCCTAAAAGATAAAAACAAAAGAAAGGAAAGCAGCCTGATAACAAGGGGGAATGCTTCCAAGACACTAAGTTGTACAATTGCAAATGACTTAGCCGTGAGTCATTCCAAGAAAACTTTGATGAATTCTTTGTTTTCTCCTTTTTTTTGTTGGTGAAAACGTCTTTTGTTCTGCTCAGGCAACGGGCGCGCCGCTGAGCTCGAACCCCCGAACAAAACAAGTGGGCGGATGTGATCATCGTGGCACGAATCAAAGACGGCGCTCTCTGCAAACGGCGATATCGAGCATGACTCACGAGGCGCGCCGGCTTCCTCGACGACTCGCTCGGACTCTTGGAACGCCGAGGCAACACATGGCCGACTGTTATCAGCCCGCGGCATGTGAGCCGGCGGGGTCGCGACCCGTGACATAACGTACGTTTACGGCCGCCGTAAATCAGCGGCGGATCGTGGAAGGGTTGAGCTGCCCAGTAAAGAGAGAGACGAGTGTTTGGAAAGTTTTCTAAATCGGTGCACAAATTAACCCCGTGAGCTTTAACATTGTCATCTGGGTCAGAAAAGTCAATGTGATGCAGAGTTTTTATCATTTCATCTGCTAATACTTGTAGATTCTATTTATTAGCCTTTATATTGAGGAAAAACTACTTTAGCTTTAGTATCTCACCATAAAATGCTGCCAGAGGAGATACGTTTCCATCACTGTGAAGGCAAAGATTGTCACGAATCCGGCAACATCTCACTTAGAAATGGAGTAAATGACGTCACTATTATATCCACCGAACAAACAAACGTCTGCTCTCAACGTTTGACCACAGATCTCAAATCGCTGTCTTGTAAAAGCGGATGACCTTGTAGGAGTAATGTACAATTATGCAGGCATACATATGTAGAGCTTTAGTTGCACTCTTTCCTGCAATAATACAGGAACATAATACTGTATAGATTTTTCTTCTAACTGCACAATAATTTTGTTGACATTAGTACATCTAGGTAATAAGGTTTCTGTGCAACACTGAGCTCATGAGTAACTCGATCAAGAGCAACAGCTGTGTTCAGATCGTACAAATGTTTAAATCTGATGTAAATTCAAAATTCTTTATTAGTTATACTTTATTCTAAAGACAAAAAATAAATGATTTTTCCAATAATTTACAGATATTTTACTGATTTTTCCTGTTCATGTTAAATTACAGATAAAAATAATAATAAAACAATATAATTTACATTTTAATCTTGAATAAATACAGGCCAAAATTGTCAATAATGTCCACAATAAAAATCAAAAAAATATTTTCACATCAATAATAATTATTAGCAGTAGATTTAGACGGTCTTGCTGTATGTAAATCTGCTACAAAAAAATATAACAACTTCACAGATATTTGCCATCATTTGTAAGAAAAATGATTCACATCAAAGATTAAAAATCCTAAATATATATTTTTTAAATTGACACTGACTCTGGAAAAGAGGCCATAACTGTACATAAAATCCACATCACTAATCAGCAGTTTTCATATTTTTGAAGAAGCAATTCATCATTTTACAATCTTTTCGTTAAAATCAGCTAAAACTGTCATTACTGTCTTTAATTTACAGATATTTACTGTTACCTTGACAATTTTCAGACACCTTTGTTGCCAGATTTACTTTGTTTAGTGGATTCGTACTATCTGCGTACGGCGTGGCCTCGGTAGAAAAGCCACGTCCTTGACTTTTCTTTGACATGCGCCACACCTCAATGACATGAACACTCTGAGCAATATAACCGAACGACCTGGCCGTGAACTTGGACACAGAGTCCGTCTGTCTGCCTCTGAGGCAGCTCGGACGTTTCCTTGTTTGGCACAAGAGTTTCACGTAATCATAAACGGTGCATCTTTCGAATAAACGAAAGCACCGAGGAGATAAGACATCCTGAACCGGCATCAGAAACGTGAAGCACTTGAAGCAGACAACGGCAGCTATAATCAGTTTAAGTGTAATTACTGAGAGCATCTGAATCCCTGAGTTGCCTGTTGTTGGCCACTTAAGGTAGTTGAACTGTGAAATATGAGTAAACAATGACAGTTATTCTGAGTTCACAAATTTGAGCTAAAAAGCCACAACTCTTAACATTTAACCGTCTTTTAGTCGCAGTGGGACTCGTTCTGGGTAACACCTCCGAGCTCTGGCTGCTGGAAACAACAGCGAGAAGAAAAAAAAAAATAGTATTTGCCCTTCAAACTGAGCGTTTAGCATTCCTCGCTCCCCCGTCCACTTTAACTGGCCTAAAGAGCGGCTTTGTTAGGGGTAAAACACAGGCGACGTGACATAACGTGCACCGGAGATAGCTCGCCAGAAATCGAAGGTGACACTCCGAATTGGTCGGCATTACGGTGAGATTGTTCCTGCTCTCTGGTGGGAGAGTTTAAAGGCAGCTTTACTTCTATAGGAGGCAGTTTTTGTAGTAAATCCCTCCTATTACCTTCCCCTCCCATGAATAACTTAGCCGTCCTTGATAGCGCAACCCTGGGAGCGCATCCTCCATCGCTGACCACTTTTAGCAGTATACGTTGATTTGTGAAGAAGCAGGGGGGCGGGGAGAGGATGGAGGCTGGCGAACGTACCTTTTGTCTCTTCCGGAGAATGAAGTTCTTCCACAGGAGCAGAGTGAACTGCGTCAGGAGACCCATTACGGCTTATCCTGGCAATATCCTGCCAAAGCGTCGCTATGGCAACTGGCCCACTTAATAAACCCTGGAGGGAATAAAAGGCAGAGTTTGGTTTTTAATACAGAAGAGCAATGCATCTTGGGGGAGTGCCACTAATCATTCACTTCCCCGGGCCTCGGGGCTTACGGTGCAGCACCTGTTCGAAGAATTATTATCACCCGCACTCAGCACATCTCAGGACTAGGGGGGGGGTCTGCGCAGGTGGAGGTTAGGCAGCGGCGTTTAAAGAGCATGTGCTGGTTTTTACCGCGTCGACGTCTCGAAATGTCCTCGCAAACTCTCTGTCAATTAATCCGTCTTTTAAAGTGACCGGAGTAAAAATAAAAGTCCCAAAAAAATACTCGTGCGAGCGCATCACTTTTCTGAGGCTGCCGTAAAACATTTATGACGTGTTTTACTGGCTACTCAACCCTGATTACACAGATAATAAACAAATAGGTCCGCCGCGCCATTTTTAACGCCGCTACATCAAGTATGACCTTTATTAAAAACTCCACAACTGACAAGTCTCTCTGCCGACTGCAGTTAATTTATCACCGAGGTCCGGAGACGCCGCTTTTGTTAATTTAATGCGCTCAATCAAAAGCCACGTATTCGGCTGGAAAAAAAAGAGGTTTTCGAGGACGCTGTGGTTGAATCTGTCAAGTTTGGGACACCCACACCGGCTATAATCAAAACAAAGTTGGAATAAAACATGTTTTGTTTGAGAATGCTCCTAATGAGTTGAGTTTATGTCTTGGAGATCTTTGGTTTGAAGGTTCTGGAGGCATGGAGGTACATTTCTGTGTTGAAAGTTCCTCCATTCGATGTGTTTGATTATCTGAATGAGCGCCTTGTTGCGTAAAACGAGGCGCTGTTTTGAAACATGTGACCAACTTATAAAAGGTGGTAGCCTGACTTGGTAACGCGGCACAACATTTAAATCAAAACCAACTTAATTTAACTTTTTCCCCTCACAGAATGGAAATCCACCCATCAGATGGATCTCTGTTCGACTTCAGATTCTCGAAAAATGTTTGCTGTTGTTTCAAAAACATGATTTTAATGTTTCCTGTCGACCTTGTAGACAAAACTACTTTGTTTGCTTGACACACAGTTGCATGTCAATGTTCAAATGCTGAATATATTTCTATCTACAGAGTAATGTCAATCGATGACAGACCGATAGATGGTGGATCAATAGAGCAAAATGTACCCATCCCTCCAGCGGTAATATAGACGGACAAACAAATAGATTCTAAACAGCCAGATGGATGTTAGAAATATAAATCTACCCACTTATGTATGGATCTACTCATGCATGAAAGATGTGCAGCTAGATGAGGGATGGATAGAAGTATGGATACCAATCAATCAGAGATCGATCCACAAACAGCGTCCACCTACAGGATTGCATTAAATAAAAACCTTATTTCTACAACACTTGTTGAAAGCAAAGTTACTCCAAAGCTCTACATTAAAACAAATGCCAAATGAACCAAATATTTAAACACAAATCAACCAAATAACTAGCGTAACCAAAGTAACCTAACAAGTTAAAATAATGTAGTTGAGACACAGTAAAGAGATCTCTGGGATGGTTTTTGCCAAAGTAATTCACATATTAATGATTTAAACCCTACAAAAACTACACCAACTTAAACTTTACTTGACTATAAGACATATTAAAGAAGAGATCTTACCTCCAGCCAGTTCTGTCACTAAACCCCTCTTACAACTCAACCTGTCTCTGGGGTAAGATGCAATATTTTACTTTTACATATTCATTATATGGTCCGACCAAGAATCAACCTTTGAGCGTTCACGTGCAGCAGAGACGTTTTATGCTGCTTGTATAAGTTAATCCAAACATACCTTCATACTTATCTGACCCAATAAACTGAGAAGACTTCTGTAAATGTTAACGTCAGATAAAAACTCACAGCGCTTGATTTGTGTCGCGTGCATTGATTGGAATAAATGAAACGCTGCTGGAGGTGGCTGCCGCCGCCGCCGCCGCTGTGTGATCTTCCCGTGCAGACTTTTAAGATTAGAGCGTGTGCATTAGGTGAGGCAGGTGGGGGATTGGGATGGGCTTTTTAGCCCAAGGGTAGTCCTGACAAATGTGCCACCTTTTAACGCTCCATTTCCTCTTTCTGTTCGGGTTCCATCTCCTCGCCGCGTGTTTACATTATTTAATGCCGCTCCGTGGATGTTTTATTTACCGTCATGGGAAAGTTGGTCGCTCCCTCACTTCCAAACGCCCAAATAAGTGCTCTAATGGGCTAAAGAGTCGGCGCGCTCAAGGCCGTCGAACAATCTATTACGGGATATTAGTGGGATGGCAAGACGTGTTGTTGCAGAGGCCAACTGAAATGAATCACACTATTAGAGCCGTAGTCAAGCTATCACATACATATTTCTGACATTTAAAAAGCGCTTGCGGTTGCATGAAGGTGGGATGAATTCTCCTCCTCCACAGCGGCTCCTCTCGCAGCTCGCTATTCATTATTTCTCTATTCAATCCGCGGTTTATTTTGTGCATCTTTTGAAGGAGGGTAGTTGTGGAAGAGCACGGTGGGGGACAAATGGCCGGGGCTGCTGCACGCGGGCCCTCGTGTACGCACCAACACTCGACTCCATCAAATGCTCGTATAATTGAGTGCGCGCTCGCATTTGCTCTCGCAGCTTTCAAGCCACGTCTTTTGAAACATGCAACGCGCAAGAGAAGGACAGCTTGGCACCACCTCCACTCTGAAATCACGTCAAGCATGAAGGGTAAACAACATCTCCAAGAATATACTCGAGCCATATGTCAAAAATGTGTGCGCTGGTATCTGGGAAGAGGAGAAGAGACGGAAAAAAGAAAAAGAAAGATGTTTGTCTGTAAAAAGATGGCGCGTGTGTGGGCGGGTGTGTTGCGGAAAAGCCCGGCTCAAGGATTCTTTTCCGATTCCACATCTAAAGAACAGATAACAAGCAACAAGAGACGGGATGATTACGATTTGCATCGCAGCCGCAGTGTTGCAAAAAAACACAATGAACACAGTTCTCCAGAGAACAAAAAAAGCACACAGTGTGAAGTGGTTCCCAGATCATCGTTTTAATCTGCGACTGGGAGCACAGAGAATAATTGAAATGTGTTCTTTTTACGCTGTGCGGACGGGGTTTTGTTTTTTTTTTTTTCCTGTGGCCATCGGGCGCCGGCGTCAACTTTTCACGGTATCATTAGTTCCGAAGAAAGCCCCGAGAAAAGAGGAGGGAGTGTGTGGAGCTAGAAAAAAAAGGAAAAAAGGAAGCACTGAGAGGACATAAGTGCTGATGCATGCCTGGCATTTGGGGACTCGGGACGGCAAAGTGCATTATTTCAGCCCCGAGGATGATCGAAAGAGAAAACAGAAATTTGTCATACGGCATGAGAGCAAAGGACAGCAGAGAATGACTGCAGCATCAGTTACAAGGAGGGTCGCCGTAGCCCTCTGAAGGGTATAATGGTCCCTGTGTTCCTGCCTTCAATCTGTCTTTTTTCTCTGGCCAGCTCCGTCTCTATCACGAGCCCCGAACACCGTTAGTACGGCGGGAGTTCACGCTGCGCGCGGCGAGAAGGTAAGTTCAAGGAGGTACTTACCGGACCCGCATTAATCAAAGGTGAGCACTTCGGCTGAAAAGCGTTCTCATGAACCCCGCCGCTCAGCCGGCACCTGTGATTCTGGACAATGCTTGAACATATAAGAAAATCTTTAACTTGATTAGGAAAAATGTGCGAGTTCACCGACGCCGTGGAAATGCCAACAGAGTCTGAAGCGAAACTTTTGAGACGCTAATCAGGCTGGACTTGATTAACCGCTGTGGAGCTAATAAGGCGACGAGCGGTTTGCCAATCACCAAAAAACTTCAAAAAAAAGAAGAAGGAACAAGACTAGTTTCCTTGGACACCTGCGACCTCAAGAATTGTTTTTAACTTAGCTAGTTGTACTTGTTCGGTCGTGCCAGCTGGTGTCGACCATTTTTGAGGCCGTCCACAGTATCTAGAAATAAAAAGTCCAAAAACCACCACAAGCCAACGCCTCAGTTTACCTTCACTCACAGCTACTGATTAAATTAAAGTTAAATACACCTAAAGACTACGTAAAAGACAAACAAAAATTATTATTTTCTGCACTTGGGGTTTCCTCAACTTCCTAAACATCAAAGAAATAACCCAACAGGCTTTGAGATATTTCCGGCTACAATGGGCTCTTCATTCTGACCCAGTTCCACGGTAAAAGACGGCATCACAAAAAATCCATAGAAACTTTTCAAACGGCTCCGTAATCCACTTCTCCTTGGTCCATTCACATCCTGAATATGTTCTATAAGCTTCCTTTATTTTTATTTGTTGTGAGTAAAGAACCCAGTGGTCCACCTCCATCAGGTAGCCGTTTGTTACTACACCCAGCTCAGCGTTTGCAATCAATCCGACTTTTATTAACCTAATTTGGCTAAAACTCAGCTCAGCTTCATGACGTACGCGGTGCTGTTGAGCTGTATTCAGTTATTCCATCTCAACCCGTCCTTCTAGGCTGACATTAGCATAATACAACCACCAACCAAACACATTGATCTGCTGCACCAGGGGGGTTTTCTAGTGGGAAATGTCACGCCTGGACGTATATTTAATGATAATCTGATGTGAGCGAGGCTTCAGCGGTGAATTTATTCTCATGATGACAGTTTGAAAGGATCAAAATAGATCCTCCGGCTTTGTGTTCCGCTGGGAGTAAACATGGCCTTCAAGACCAATATTACAGAGTGGACTCTGGTATTATACAGTAACATCTGCTCATATAAGTGTGTGAGCTCCACAGCAATCCAGTACGTATGACAGGTAATGGTTGACTCAGCGTCTCCAGCCTACGTAGGTGGAGGTCTGAAAATGAAAAATATGGACATATACATGTTCTTGGTTCCATTTAAAGAACCATTTTGAAACTCTACAACTC